TCTTTATGCACCAAGAGCTTGTAACACTCCAAAGAGAAAGGAACAATTGAAATCGCATCATATGACCCCTTTAAAAGAATATAATCAGTAATTATACTCACTTAATATTAGATTTTTAAAGCTATGTTTTTTAACATTTCATAGGCCTTTTTTTGTTTACACTGTATTTAAATAAAATATACTATGTTTGTATTTTAGCCCTTTACTGGAGCAGTAACCTCAAAGGTGCAACTATACCCCTAAAAGGGAGCATATTAGTACCATACAAGTATGCATGCTTTAAGGGTAGGTAAGTTTACTGGTTAGGTTACTGGTAGGTTACTGCAGTTTTAGTACAATTACTGTGGTAAACTGTGGTTACTGTAATAAAAACATGGTTAATTTTTGTAAAAGGCTGCCAGGCTGTTTTACCCCTAAAAAGGTGAAACTTTAGCATATTTTTTTGCTCACAGATTTATTAACAGCAATTACAGAACATATAACACAATCCATTTGAACTTTTAACAACCAGTTTAAATAAATTTACTTGCACAAACTAGCCAATTTAAAATAAATAATACATGTACACAAAAGTTTGGGGTCAGTAAGATTTTGTAATATTTTTTAAATAAGTCTCATGCTCACCAAGGCTGCACTTATTTGAAAAAACAAAATAAACAAAAAACAGTAAAAGCAGCAATATTGTGAAATATAACATAACTATTTTCTATTTTAATATTTTAAAATGTAATTTAAAATGCATCGTTTTTCAGAATTAATTTTATATATAGTAACAATGATATGTAATAATGTGGCAATGGTTTCTTAAGATCTACTTACGCTTCTGATGCTTTTGGGAAGCGCAGCTCTATTTGAACAAACACTCTGAGCCATGCGTCAGCAGCGAACGCTGTCTGTGATTGATTGGTTCGGTCTTTCAGCATCTGCGTGTGTTCCGATGAGCAGGAAAAATAGTTCTATCCAACACAATTATTCGCTAGTATAGTCTATTTTTTCCACTTAGAAGCATATGTTATGGACCGAATTTCTTGATAAATAAAATTAGTGGTTAAAAAATGCACTTTAGAATCGATATTTTTATGTGAGGATCGATCCGCCCATCCCTACTAACCAGACTTCATCACGTCGCATATGCGTGCACTCCGTAGGTGTGTTTTGTTTGGTTTTTGCAATATACTCGATAATGTCATGATGTCTCACGAGTTCCGTATTTGCGCTAAACTTGCGCAGATTTGGCTTGCATGAACTTCCCCAAGAAATTAATGAGTGAGCATAACTTTATCATGGTCAAGATGTCAACTATACTACCTCTGCACTACATTTTTCCCTTCCGCACATATAATGTCTACATTTATGCACATTTGTTGTCTTGTGTTATGTGTCCCCTGTGTACTGTATTGAATAGCATATTCATTGTGTATATTGTATTGTACAGAGCATTATGTATAATAGTAGAGTATTTAGTGTATAATATGTAAATGGTACATCACTTATTTGTATGTATCAAGTAGGCACCTGGAGGTTGCTCCACCAGAGTCTCATTGTACATGTAAAATGACAATAAAGTTCTTACTATATTTATTTATATAGTAGTCAACATTTGAAGTGTATCAAAAAAGAAGTTAATCAAAGTTGTCCTGAGACAAGAACGCAGTTTGGATTTAGGTTTTAGGACAACTTTGATGAAAGGTTTTGATCCACATCAAATGTTGACTACTGTATATATATATTTACGTGAATGCGAGTAGTTGTGAATCACAGGTGTTTTATATACGAGACGAGGACATGACTTGCAGCCAAAACCAGCACATCCAGTGCAAGAAGACTTTGACTTTTTAATTTTACTTATTATTTGATCTATCCGTTATACTGAAGAGACCTTTTTGCTTAGTGTTATTTTGGTTTTAGAAAATGAACATGATTGCTCTCCTCTCAATGTTCTCTGTGCCTTGTCTTGGACTTTGATGTCACTTCCTGTCTCCCGTGGTGTTTGTAGTCAGTTTGTAGTCCGTTTGTTCATTGGTTCCCCTTGTTTAGGTGTAAATAGGCCCGTAGTGTTTCTTTAGTTCTTTGTGAGTTGTTGAATGTAATGGTTGTCTGTTTGCCCGTCATTCTGTTCTTTGTTCCCTTTGGTTTATTGTTTGTTCTAGTTTTTCCATTAAATACCTGCACATAGATCCTTGGCTCTGCATCTTTGAACCTATATTTAGTAAAATACTTAAAGGGGTCATATGATGCGATTTCAAGTTTTCCTTTCTCTTTGGAGTGTTAACTGTAAGGCATCTGTACTTTTTACTCAATTATGGTTTTCAGGTTTACTCTTTACACCTCTGTTACACACACACACATACACTCTCACACACACACACTCTCACACACACACTCTCACACACACACTCTCACACACACACACACTCTCTCACACACACACTCACACACACGCACACGCTCTCACACACACGCACACGCTCTCACACACACGCACACGCTCTCACACACACGCACACGCTCTCACACACACGCACACGCTCTCACACACACGCACACGCTCTCACACACACGCACACGCTCTCACACACACGCACACGCTCTCACACACGCGCACGCTCTCGCACACGCACACGCACACACTCACACACACGCACACGCACACGCTCTCTCACACGCACACGCACACACTCACACGCACACACGCACTCACACATGCACTCACGCACGCACTCACGCACGCGCTCTCACACACACGCGCACACGCGCACACTCACACGCGCACTCTCACACGCGCACACACACACGCACACACACGTGCTCTCTCACACGCACACGCACACACTCACACGCACACACGCACTCACACATGCACTCACGCACGCACTCACGCACGCGCTCTCACACACACGCGCACACGCGCACACTCACACGCGCACTCTCACACGCGCACTCTCACACACACGCACGCGCTCTCACACACACGCACGCGCTCTCTCACACACGCACGCGCTCTCTCACACACGCACGCGCTCTCTCACACGCTCTCTCACACGCGCACACGCACACTCACACACAGTGTCAGCGGTCCTCACCGCGTCTTTGGCCAGACCCTCGAAGCCGTCGTGGACGGTGTAAACCCGGTGACCGTGAGCGAGTCCCACTCGAACCGCGGATCTCACAGCGGAGTTCATCCCCGCGGCTGGAGCGCCGACGTTCAGGATCGCCATAGAGTGATTACTCTACACAAACACATGTTAAACAGCTGGTTACAGGCAAATTAAAAACTAATTTTTTTTATGTAAAATTAAAAATATATATATATTTATAAAAAATACATAATATATTTCAGATGAATACACAGTTTAAATAAATACAAAGACATATAATAAATTTAAAGTACTTAAATAAATTGTAATTATAATATTATTATATGTAATATTAAATGATTTAATAAATAAATAAAAAGTGCGTGTGTATATATATATATATATATATACACACACACACACACTATCGGTCAAAAGTTTGGGATCAGAGCGATTTTTAATGTTTTTACAGGAGTTTCTTCTGCTCATCAAGGCTGCATTTATTTGATAAAAAATACAGGAAACATAATATTGTGAAATAGTATTATGATGTAAAATAAAATTTTTCTATGTGAATATCTGTTAAACTATAATTTATTTCTGTGATGCGCAGCTGTATTTTCAGCATCATTACTCCAGTCTTCAGTGTCACATGATCTTCAGAAATCATTTTGCATCACAGAAATAAATTATATTTTAAAGGATATTAAAATAGAAACCATTATTTTATATTGTAATAACATTTAACAAGATTACAGTTTTTTTCTGTATTTTTGATCAAATAAATGCAGCCTTGATGAGCAGAAGAGACTCCTTTAAAAACACTACAAGTCTTACTGATCCCACACTTTTGACCGGTAGTGTATATAAATATATTCACATTAAAAAAATATAAATAAAATAAATATAAATTAAATTATTTGTTTTCAGAGACAAATAAAGTTTTGATTTAGTATTTAAATTTGATTTAGTATTTGATTTTGAAACTAAATTCTTTAGAATAATGTGCACAATAAGATCAATGACATTTATTATGAAAGTAAATGGTGTCAATTATGATTTTTTTTGTTGATTTTGAATGTTGACTTTTTTAAAAAACAAGCAAAAAGAAAGTATATGGTGTTTGAAAGCTCTAAGTCATTGAGTTTGTTACCTTAGACAGAGCTGGTTTCTGATGAGCTAAAAGCTTGTACGTGTTCCAGTTGTTCTCAAAACTCCTGCAACGAAGTAACAATCAGTGAACCATCTCTCCGAGTCATTAACAGACGAACACACGAATGAACGAAACTCACTTTCCACGCAGCTGAATGGCTTCTTCAAACCTCTTCTCGTTCATGGCTTTCTGAACCTCTTTCGTCTACAAAAACAAAACAGAAGCACAGTTACATTCGGATTCTCTGTACCAGATGCTGTCCAGAGGTCAAAGGTCAGGGGTGTTTGGCGAGTGACTCACCATGTTCACGCACTCCATGAGCGGCAGACGCATGGCCTGATTCCCAGACAGACCGATCACACACGCAGACGTCTCCGGAGTCGCCTCCAGCAGAGCCACCACGGCCTCCACACCCATCTTACTGCTCTACACACACCAAAACATCAACACCATGAACCAATCTTTAATGTGACTCGGGGAGTGACATGTGCAACATCCTATAGGTTCTGTGCTAGAAGTCTGTTTCGAGTCTTCAGGTTTTTCCAGAGTCGTTTGTTCGTCACGTGACAGCCCCATAAGCTGATTTTGATCAAAGTGATTTTGCCATCATATAGACAAAATTCAAAGCATAACCAACTCTTTATTACCACATTCAGTGTTATGGAAAAGAACCGTCATGACAGAAATGTACACTTATAAAACAAATAGTTCCGGTCCTTGATTCTGATTGGCTGAGCCGCGTTCAAAGCTGTTGTAAATGACTCTACAAAGTAACATACACCTTTGTTTACGTTTGTCTGTTGCTCGGCAACCACTTTGTTGCAACCACAACTGATTCGGAGGATTCTGGAAGAATACTGTTTTTATTAATATCATTACACTTTATTTGCTCGGTTTTATTTTGTGAAACCTTACTACATGGAATAACCGTTTTATAAAAGCATTGTACCTAAAAACGCCCCTTAGCTGTTATAAATTCACTGTAAACCACGGCTTCTTGGGGCTTATTGCTTTAATTTATAGACAAGGCAAAGTTTATTTATATAGCACATTTCATTCACAATGGTAATTCAAAGTGCTTTACATATAAAAGAAATTAGAGATCAAAATAATCATAAAAATATAATCACAACAAAAAACAAGGAATGTAAAAATGATTTAAAAATGGATTTAAAATGCAACCAGTTCGGACGTGGCACAGTGCTCATTCACTAAATGCACAGCTAAACATATGAGTTTTGAGTCTGGATTTAAATGTGGCTAATGTTTTAGCACATCTGATCTCTTCTGGAAGCTGATTCCAAAATAAATAGCCTGTTTTCAGTTAATGGACGGAACACTGAAGGGCACTTCTCATCCAATATAATCGCAATAAGCATTGCGCTTTGGTACTTTTAAAAAAAAATTTTTTATTAGAACATGCTATAAAAGTTATACATCAGAGATAGACAATAGGGGTGCCGACATTTGAAAAAATTTACAAAGATAGAGAAAAAGAAAAGAAAAAACAAGAAAAAAAAAACAAGAAGTAGGTGTTTTTCACAGTTTCAAGATTTTTAAAATAAGAACATATATAAAAGAAAATCCATATGCTTTGTGAACATGTACATATAATTGCATACATAATCCACTACATTAGTTGAGAGATTTTTTTTACATAGAAAAAATAATCGACATTGAATCGAATCGGTAATCGAATCGAAAGCTTGTGAATGAGAATTTAATCGAATTGTGAAAACCCAGCCCTAATTCCTACTACTGTCTAGGCATGGGCCGATTACCGGTTTCAAGGTATACCGCGTCGAACGACTCAAACCTCAAAAAACTTGAAAAAAAGATTAGTTAATTTTGCTGAACGAGACTCAAAGGTCCGAGTCGGTGAAATGATCCGAATCATTTTTTTGACCTTGCATGCATGTAATCCTATTGTAGGAGACTCCCAAAATAATATTAGGAACCGTAAAAATGCCATAATAGGGGCACTTTGAATTTTTTTGAGGAAAACATTACAGGATTTTTCTCCATATAGTGGACTTCAATGGTGGCCAGCGGACTGAACGTCAAAATGCAGCTTCAAAGAGCTCTACACGATCCCAGCCGAGGAATAAGGGCCTTATCTAGTGAAACGATTGGTCATTTTCTGAAAAACGTTTATATTTATCCACTTTTTAACCACAAATGCTCGGCTTGTTCTAGCTCTGCGATGCGCATCTTCACACATTACGTAAGCATGTTGGAAAGGTCACGCGCGGTTAGTTCTTTATCTTTGTACTTCGTTTAAAAACTCCATCTCTTTTTCTCCTCCAACTTTAAAATCATCCGACATCGTTTTTAGGTCCTAGGCCACTGAGTGATTTAAAACTGTAAGGGTAAATAATAATAATAATAACTATGCACCCGTTTGTAAGGAAGGTTGTAAATTATTAACTAATTTCTCTATCCAATGCGGTCACGTCACGTGACAAAAGAACGAACGACTCGAGAGATGAACTAATCAATTCTCTTTCCGGCTCAGACTGCATTGGTTAAGCTTATGGGGCTGTCACGTGATGATCGAACGACTCAAACCTCAAAAAACTTGAAAAAAAGATTAGTTAATTTTGCTGAACGAGACTCAAAGGTCCGAGTCGGTGAAATGATCCGAATCATTTTTTTGACCTTGCATGCATGTAATCCTATTGTAGGAGACTCCCAAAATAATATTAGGAACCGTAAAAATGCCATAATAGGGGCACTTTGAATTTTTTTGAGGAAAACATTACAGGATTTTTCTCCATATAGTGGACTTCAATGGTGGCCAGCGGACTGAACGTCAAAATGCAGCTTCAAAGAGCTCTACACGATCCCAGCCGAGGAATAAGGGCCTTATCTAGTGAAACGATTGGTCATTTTCTGAAAAACGTTTATATTTATCCACTTTTTAACCACAAATGCTCGGCTTGTTCTAGCTCTGCGATGCGCATCTTCACACATTACGTAAGCATGTTGGAAAGGTCACGCGCGGTTAGTTCTTTATCTTTGTACTTCGTTTAAAAACTCCATCTCTTTTTCTCCTCCAACTTTAAAATCATCCGACATCGTTGTTTTACCTTTTTTGCAAAAGTGCATTTAACTTTTTTGCATGTTTCTTTGTAAACACTGGGTCGGTACTTCCGCCTACGTCACGCGTGACCTTTCATTTGTGGTTAAAAAGTGTATGAATATACATTTTTTTCAGAAAATGACCGATTGTTTCGCTAGATAAGGCCCTTATTCATCGGCTGGGATCGTGTAGAGCTCTTTGAAGCCGCATTTTGACGTTCAAATCATTGGCCATCGAAGTCCACTATATGGAGAAAAATCCAGGAATGTTTTCCTCAAACTTAATTTTTTTGCGACTGAAGAAAGAAAGACATGAACATCTTGGATGACATGGGGGTGAGTAAATTATCAGGAAATGTTTATTCTGGAAGTGAACTTATCCTTTAAGTTGGGGGGGGGGGACGCCACAAGAGGACACATCGGGCAAAATATTACTAATGCACATTTATTACAGTTTTTTTAAACCGCTTACACACATTTTCAAAACTCTGCCTATTTTTTTTTTTCAAAACTTTCCAATAACTGCACACACAAAATGCAAAAATGCCTCACATCTCTTGCAAAATGAAGCTCTGCATTCAAAATATCACAAACACGTCTCAAAAGCAAACATTTTAAACACGTTTGCCATAATATTATATTTTTGGATATATCATCATATACACACACAGTTATTCAAAACCGAAAGCTCTTCTTTCATGAGCTCCTGTGTACATTTCTGTACAAGATTGAAAGTAAATGGCAGAGAGATGTTGAAAAATCCACGGTAAACACAAAAGCCAGATTGAAAGCAAACTTTTTTGTTACTGTAAGCATTTGTGGTTGTGAATACAGAGATACACAGTACGAAAGAGAAGAAATGCATCAAGCATGTGTAGATGTGTGTTTATAGGTCTGTTCTAAAGCATGATTGGTTGGTGTTCAGTAAACCACATATGAGGAGTTAGTGATGCATTTTGATTGGTCGGGTTTGAAAAAGGAAATCAAGATACTTCCTGTTAGATATGTGCGTGTTACATAGAGAACTGTGTGTTGTGTTTCTGCTGTTTGAGTGTCAGCTTTCAGAAACTGTGTGACGAGGAAAGATTCTGTGTGTAAGCAGTTGAAAAAAACTATAAAGCAATAAAAAAACATGACTGTGAAAAATTGCATAAGGTTTATAAACCAAAAACAATTAATTAAGTTGCTTAAACAATTATAAACAAAACAGCATCATGTATGCATAGTTTAAATCAAAGAAACGAAAGCCAACCACGTTACTTTTTTCATTTAAAAAAGATACAGTGGGATGGGGAAAAAAAACGCCTTAAAGTCTCGAGACATGTTTTTTTAAAAGTTGAACTTACAATAATTTTACATGGCTTTCTAAACATGCGACTCTCTTGTGCGAGACGTGACGGTGATATACGCAAAATATGTGTTCTGTGTGAACGGATTGGTTTCAGTTTCGACGTAAACAACATCTCCGCATTGATGTTCTCTTTTTTCCGCAATATTTGAATGAACACAGCAGCGCCATCTAGTGGCTTCAACTAACAAAACAATAAAAAGCAATGGCACTTACATCATCATCGCATCTTGTGCGCCACTGACCTAAAATTCGAACGTTTTTTGCATTCAAATGTGGATTTTTATTTTAAATTCAACGAATATTTTGAAATTTTACTAGTGTCAGGTTTTTATAGTTAAAACTAAAACCATAAAAATATTCTGCATTAATTGAAATAAAATTAATTTTATCTGAAATTATAAAACAAATCTATAAAAAATTTATTAAATATCTAAAATGCACAAATTAAAAAATATTATTTTATTTCATTTAGTTTATAAGCTTTAGCTTAACCTGATGTACTAAAATAACCAAAACAGAAAAAATAATAATAATAATGCATTACAATTTAACTAAACTCTTTAGATTTTAGTCGACTAAAATTGTATGATATTTAGTTACTAAAACTATTCAGATGACTAAAATATGACTAAAACTAAATGGCATTTTCGTCAAAAGACTATAAATAAAACAATCAAAATTTGCTGTCAAAATTAACACTGATTCACACTCATCACTGAATTCAATGCTGAACTGCCTTTAACTGAAAATTGAGTGTTTACTATTATCCTTTTGCATTATTGACACACTATTTTCCTACTTGATACTGTAAAGCTGCTTTGATACAATCTGTATTGTTAAAAGCGCTATATAAATAAAGGTGACTTGACTTATGCTCCTAAATACATTTTCCAGTTCGTACACATCTATTTTTAGTTGCAAATGCGAGTGAAATGCTTGCACTGTCGAGCCCTGCATAATAAATTGAAGAAACACAAAATTGAATTTGAAATGTACACATTTCAACATGACGTTTTTTAATGCACTCACCAGGACTCGATCGAAGGCGGATGGCGTTCCTCCTCTCTGAACGTGACCCAGGACAGTGACCCGCGTGTCGTAACCCAACCGCTGAACCACCAGCTACACACACACACACACACACACACATACACAGAATAAGCTGAATAAATAATCTTTCCATTGATGTCTGGTTTGTTATGACAGAACAATATTTGGTTGAGATACAACTATTTGAAAATCTGGAAACTGAGGGTGCAAAAAAATCTAAATATTGAGAAAATCATCTTTAAAGTTGTTCAAATGAAGTTCTTAGCAATGCATATTACTAATCAAAAATTAAGTTTTGATATATTTACGGTAGGAGATTTACAAAATATCTTCATGGAACATGATCTTTACTTAATATCCTAATGATTTTTGGCATAAAAGAGAAATGTATAATTTTGACCCATACAATGTATTGTTGGCTATTGCTACAAATATACCCCAGCGACTTAACACTGCTTTTGTGCTGCAGGCTCACAGATATGAACAGAAGCAGGGCTGTACGATTAATCCAAATAAAACTCAAACTGCGATATGGCTTAGTGAGATTATCAAATCGATGAAATTTAATTGAATAAATTCATGCTTTGCATGCTTCACAGTGAAGCGCGGCACATTTCAAGCACAATTTACACACTTTATGGGCTGCCTGCAGTTTTCCTTCAAAATAAAAGTTCAACGGTAACTGTAATTTTAAAGTTGTATTATATTATAATTATATTATATTTATACTTTTCTATACTTTACTTTTACAGTGAAATATTACAATAGTTATACTTTTGTTTTTATTTAGTCATTTTTAGTTATTTTATTTAGTAATAATTATAAAAAATATTATTATTATATTAATTATTATTAAGCCATATTGATATAATCACATAATGCTGGCCAAATGTGAAGCCCTAGTCCAATAGTCACTTCTTACTTTGTTTTAATATAGTAATTGTAATATTTTTTATTTAGTAGCAGTAATAACATTATACATCAAATCATTTTTTATAATGTACTATTATTATTATTACCATTACATTTTGGCCAAATTGTGCAGCCCTAGTGCAATAGTAATATTTCTTATTTTGTTTTTATTTAGTAATTATATATTTTTTGGTAATAATAATAATAATCATCATTATAATTATTATTCCATTGTTATTTTATAGCCATATTGATAATCACAAAATGTTGTGTATAATGTTAATATATTTAATAATATTTCTTATTTTGATTTTATTTAGTAACTAATATTTTTACAGCAATAACAATAATTATTTTTTATTAACATTATTTTTATTTTTTTTAAATGTATAGCTATATTTACATAATCCCAACATTAGACCTCTCCTGCCGTCTCACCTCTCCAAGTCGAGCGCACATGTGATCCTCCCATCCGTCCTCCGGCGGAGCCTCCGGGATGAAGAGCCAGTCGGCACCAGACGCCAGAGCGGAAACCACCGCCAGATACCTGCAGAACCAGACCAGACCGGATCAGACCAGACCAGACTAGACTGGATCAGACCAGACCAGATCAGACCACACCAGACCAGACCGGATCAGACCAGACTAGACTGGATCAGACCAGACCGGATCAGACCAGACCACACCAGACTGGATCAGATCAGACCAGACCGGATCAGACCAGACCGGATCAGACCAGACTGGATCAGATCAGACCAGACCAGACCAGACCAGACAGGATCAGACCAGACCAGACCAGACAGGATCAGACCAGACTAGACTGGATCAGACCGGATCAACACCAGACCGGACCAGACCAGACTGGATCAGATCAGACCAGACCAGATCAGACCAGACCACACCAGACCAGACAGGATCAGACCAGACTAGACTGGATCAGACCAGATCAAGACCAGACCGGATCAGACCAGACTGGATCAGATCAGACCAGACCGGATCAGACCAGACCGGATCAGACCAGACCGGATCAGACCAGACCAGACCAGTCCAGACGCCCTTATGAAGAATAAAACACCTGAGGAAGTGAACATGACGTACCCGCAGTGGCGTCCCATCACCTCCAGCACAAACGTCCTCTGATGACTGAAAACAACAAACACATGAGTGAGAGACAATTCTGCTCAGCAAGGCTGCATTTATTTGATCAAAAATACAGTAAAAACATGAAATATTATTCAAGTGTGAAACAGCTGTTTTCTATTTTAATATACATTAAGCTGTAATGTATTTCTGAGATGCGCAGCTGTATTTTCAGCATCATTACTCCAGTCTTCAGTGTCACATGATCTTCAGAAATCAGTATAATATGCTGATTTGCTGCTCAACAAACATTTCTGATTATTATCAATGTTGAAAACAGTCGTGCCGCCCAATACTTTTGTGGAAACCGTGATACATTTTATTTTTCAGGATTCACAGATGAATTGAAAGTTCCGAAAAACAGCATTTATTTGAAATGGAAATCTTTTCTAACATTATATATGTTTTTACTGTCACTTTCAATCAATTTAATGCATCCTTGATGAATAAAAGTATTAATTTGTTTCTATTATTATTATTATTATTATATAGCCAAATTGATATAAACACAGTGCAGCCCTAGTAAAATATATATTTATTATTTTGGTTTAATTATTAATTTTAATATTTATAATAATTTACAGTAATAGTATTAATAATATTATTAATAACAATAATAATAATTATTACTATTATTAATTATTGAGGAATTTGTTTTTATTAGTAATAATAATAATAATAATAATAATTATTATCATTAGTTATTTAATGTTAGGAATATTGCACATCTTTATTAACGTGATGCTGCAGTAACTTGCATTCGTTTCTTGGCAAGAGTTAATTTTTGACTGACTGTGTGGCTGTGTGAGTGTGTGTGTGTGGGTGAGTGTGTGTG